TCAAATCAAGGTGTTAGCAGTAGCACTCTCCCTCTGGAAGCTCTAGAGAAAACCAGTTCCTTCCCTCTTCCAGTTTCTGATGGCTGCCACCATTTTTGGCTTGGGGCTACACCAGCAATCTCTGCCTTAGCGTCACATCACCTTCTCCTTTTCTGTAGTCAAATCTCCCTCGGCCTCCCTCTTACAAGGACACCTAGTGTTCATTTAGGGCCCAGCCTGGTAATACAGGATAATCTCCCCATTTTAAAAGCCTTAACTTAAAGTCCTTTTTAGCAACAGAAGGAAACACTCACAGGTTTCAGGGATTAAGACATGAATATCTTTGTGGGGGAGGGAGTCATTACTCAGCCCGCCACACCTGCCTCCAAATATACCTGAGGCGGGGGAGGGGGGGAGAGGAGGGCACTGATCTCATCAAGCCTACTCTGATTTCAACTCCCCCCAAGTTCCCAGTACAACAGACAAGATTCTCCAACCTCATACCTCTTCCCACCTCACAAGCTGCCTATGATCAGGAAATCACTAATTCTATATTCATTAAAGGTGTTAGTATTTTTAATGGCCCCTGAATGAGAAAAGTAATAAAGATTAAAACTCCCAATAGTATGGGAGAGTAATATAGGACAGTGACTAAAAATGTGGGAAATAGCTTGTCTGGGTTCAAATCCCATCCTCACCAACACGCAGCTGTGTGACCTAAGGCAATTCAGCCTCTGCACTTTGCTTTTCCCATCCAGCAAACAAGGCTAATAATACCACACATCTCATTGGGTTGTTGTAAGGGTTAAAGGAGAGAGAGAGAGAGTGTGTGTGTACAGAACTTGGTTCATTCATTAAGGTTAACTACTATTATTAATGATGCCCAAAATGGTAGACACACAGATATTACTGGACAGGGTGAAAAATCACAACCAAAATTGAAGGTACTGTAATGATACAATTAAACAATAATTAACAATCCGTTTGATGGAAACCATAAGATTAGATGCAAGATTTACACTAAATTCCGTGAGAAGTTTTAAAGGATATTCTTAATTAAAAAGAAGATCTGCTCTGTCAACGAGGATCACCAAATGCACAGGCCTCCTATCAAAAAACTGGCCCATAGCCTAGAGATGGGAACTTCTCCAGAAGCCACACATCCTGCTCTCAGTCTGGATGTGGGGGCCACCACTGCTTGTACTGTGTTTCTAAGAGCAGTAAAAAGTAGGAACGAAGTGCCCAGCATCACTAAAAGGCATTTCATGACAAGTAGGGCGACTTTTGTTTTGTTCTAGAAGGGAAATCAGACTCAGGCTCAGGTACTAAGAGTGTGACCTGGGGCAGGACAAAGTTCTGATCCTCCTGAACTCTATCTACCTTCACAAAGCCTTCGTCCAGGTGCCTGCCTAGTCCCCCATCCCCAGCCTCCAATGGTTGCATCCTGTCCCCCAGTATCTATCCCCAGCATCTCAATACTCCCTGCTTACCGTATTTTCTACTGAAATCAAGTCGGTTAGTCCACAAACAGCCCAAAAGTCGGTGATTTCCTATGCAGCCAAACTAGCATACATTTACAATAGAATAATTTCTACTATTTACACAGATCTATGGGGAGAAATTCTGTACTACAAACTTTTATATACAAGCCAAAGTAACTTGAGACTCATGACTATACATACAGTAGAAAACAAGGATGTGTCTGCTTTATCAAGGCTCAAAGTAAACCAGGATTTCAGTGAGCACCAGAGCCTGCGCCTTCCTAATCTACGACTGGAGCAAGGGGCCAATTTCCCACTCAGTTCTACCGCTGGCTTGCAGCTTTGTGGAGGGTGCAAAACACCAAACACCTAAATCATCCCTATTCCTGTGACATCACCGACCTACCTTACTCATTCCAGTCAAAAGCAGCTGCCCCTGGCAAGGACGTGACCTAACGACTAGGTGACCCAAAGAGATGCAGGCTCACATGGCTCCATTCGAAATCAAGAGAAAGCCAAGAACCGACTTGACACCTGGCAGTAGAGCAAACCCAACTACAGAACAATCACGTGTAGAGGCACTGCTGAGATCTCATGAGGAAGGGACAGTCTCCATCCTCAAAACAAGAGTTACTAGGGTGAGACTGAGAGCAGTGCGGAACTAAACTGACTGGGAAGAGCTGCTTAGAAGGCAGCCTTAAGATCGGCACGCCAAGCCTCAGGCCAGGGACAGCGTTAGGGCTAAGCATGGAACCCTGGGCTTTCTAAGAGTCCTACTTCAATAAGAAGTGGTGCCAATTCAGTGGAACTCCCAGAAAAGCACTCCGGAAAAAAGCATCCCCACTACCCCTTGGAAGATAAGTTAAGATAAAGCAATGAGCTTACAAAGATCTACAAGCACAGGAGGAGAGAGTAAGCCACCATGAGTGCAAGTCAATGTAGACAGTCCAAAAATTGCACACACCAGAACTACCAAATAAAAAGAGTCACACAGGAAATGCCTAAAAAAATAAAAGAATAAGAAACAAAGATCAGGAATGACCAGGCAGATCTGAAGAAGAAACAAATGGAACCTACAGAAATAAAAAATACAGTTGACCCTTGAATAACACAAGGGTTAGGGGCACCAATTGATCCCCATGCAGTCAAAATTCATGTCTAACTTTTGACTCCCCAAAAACTTACTACCAATAGCCTACTGTTGACCGGAAGCCTTACCAATAACATAACCAATTAACATATATTTTGCATGTTATATGTATTATATACTGTATTCTTATAACAAAGCTAGAGAAAAGAAAATCATAAGAAAAAATAAATTTACAGTACTGTACTGTAAGAAATCCATGCGTAAGTAGACCTGCACAGTTCAAACCCATGTTGTTCAAGAGTCAACTGTAATTGCTAAACTTAAATATTCCAAACAAGTTAAATAGCAGATTAAAATCGCTGGTAAGAGAATTAGTGAAATGGGAAATATAGCTAAAGAAACTACCATGTAAGCAAGAATCTAAATTAGTGTCAGGGATTATCAATAGTCCAAATTACCTCTAAATTAATTATGAAGCCAAGGGGCGCCTGCGTGGCTCAGTTGGTTAAGCGACTGCCTTCGGCTCAGGTCATGATCCTGGAGTCCCGGGATCGAGTCCCGCATCGGGCTCCCTGCTCCGCAGGGAGTCTGCTTCTCCCTCTGACCCTCCCCCCTCTCATGTGCTTGCTCTCTCTCATTCTCTCTCTCTCAAATAAATAAATAAAAACAAATCTTTAAAAAAATTAATTAATTAATTAATTATGAAGCCATGATTCAAATCAGATTCCTATCTAAAAACAAACACTGTGGGGGCTCCTGGAGGGCGCAGTCAATTAAGGGACCTTCTGCTCAGGTCATGATCTCAGGGTGGTGAGATCAAGCACCTTGCCAAGCTCTGCAATCAGCACAGAGTCTGCTTGGGACCCTTTCCCTCTCAGTCTGCCTGTCCCCACCCACGCGCAAGCTCTCAAATAAGTAAATAAATCTTAAAATAAATAAAAAATAAAAGCAAACACTGTTTTAGTTATGTTTATAACTTTAAAGCTTCAAAGTATTGCTTTTAGAGGTCATTTCATCTTTACAATAACCCTTTTAACGTACTTAAGAAATGAAAAACTGCCTAGAATCCAAATCACCTGATACATCCTTCAGTGAAACTAAACCTAAATACTAGCTTAGGTTCTGTTTTCATGACCTCTTTGCTGGAAGAGTCACAGAAAATCAGATCCCATGCATTCTGGAGCATAGGAGTGAGAAACAAAATGGAATGACATTACTAACACAGAGAGTAGACTCTAAAAAGAAGAAAAGTCATTGCCCCAGGATTCTTTTCCTTGGCTAGAATCCTGCATTGCCAGTTGAACTCAATCCTATTTATTCCTCAGCTCTGTTAAAATAACAATAACAACATAGTTGATCCTCCTGCAAAACTTCACCTAGCCTATGGCCATCTTGATACTTAATTTAGCAAAACTATCCATATTGTCCCTCATTTTCAGTATTCTGATATATATCATAGCTCTGCTCCCAGTTTTATTCAACCACTATTTTTAACTGTTATACTTAGCAACTCACTCCTCCTCTACAAATCTCTATTCCCTTAATATGTGTATCCTGACTTAAACTCCTAATGAGTGTTTATTTGTCCACAGAAGGCACATGCAGTACTGTATAATTTTACCTATAACTTAAAAAGTTTTCCTTACTCCTAAGTAAAATGGACGGATCCAATATTAAATTTTCAATTGTTAGATTCACCCCAGAGCTATCAACCTTCAGTAATTTGTTTACACACACATACGTAAAACAATCATCATTGCATTACATCAATAGGCATTCTTTCACTAGTTGACACCAACAAGAAGATTCACAAGCCGTTGATCATAACATCTCCCTTGGGTGCCAAAGTGAGTAAGAGAAGCAACCAGAAGAGCGAGTTTCAAATACTTAGACTTCTTTCCAATCTAAGCAAAACATTCCTTAGCAGTGACTACATAGCCCGCCAAGTTTTAAAACGAGTTGTTTCTACTTGGAAAATTACATCTACCTTAAAAAGTTCTTCGTGGCTTAAAATACTAAGCAGAAAAAGAAATCTTATCACCTAAAAGTTCACTTTGCCATGTCTCATACTCTTAAGACGCCAGAAGGGTGGGGAGAAGTTCGACTTAAAAAATGCAATGTGCACCTAGGTGACGTCAATACAGACACATCTGAACCGCTTTTCATGTCAGCCAGAACAAATGTGGGGCAACACAGTGATCAGTGTGTTTGTCCGAGGATCCAAACAGAATTGGACCCTGTCGTCGTCAATCTATTAGGAGACTGACAGCCCTAGAAACCTAGAACAAAATTTACCGCCCCCCCCACCCATCCTCACCCCCCAGACCCCTTGGATCCACCCATGGCTGTCAGCCAAGTCAAAGTTTAATGAAATTGAAGGATCCCGGGACCTGAGCCGCAGCCCTTCCACAAGGCAGAAGCCGCCCACCACAGCTCCAGACGAAACTTACAAACTTGGGGCGTTTCTCTCCAGGCTCCTCAGCTGCGCGGGGCGGAGGGTGCTGGGGGCCCTTCCTGCGCGGCATCTTGCTTTCCCGGCAGCCGCGAAGCGCGGCGGAGGCGGGATAGGGGGCCCCGGCGGCGGAGCCCTGCTTCGGGGGGTGCAGCCGCGGCCGGTGCCGATCCATCTTTCCCCGCAGCTCTGGGGGACGGAAAGAAGGCGGCCGCAATGCGAGCCACAAGACGGGAGCTCGGAAATCCGCGGCGGACTGGCCTTCCTGGTTCCGCCGCCCGCCCCGTCGGCCCAACTCAGCCCAACCGCTGCTGCCGGGGTCACCGCCAACACATCCGAAAACTCCCGCCACCGCGGACCGCTCCGGAGCGCCAATCCCGCGCGGCTTTGTCAATGACACTCCCGGGACCCGCCTTTTCCGGGCAGATCGAAACATGATTGGCTGTGCGGCCCGTTCATTTCGCCATTCAACTCTTGGCGGTCCAGGCAGCTCACTTTCAGGGCACGGGTGGGATCAGATCGCAAAAGCCTGAGAACCTACTAGAAGTCACTTGTGTGGGTTTATTTGGAATTTGGAGAAGCGGTTCCTGCCGGCAGGCGAGACCCTCTGCACCACCACTTGAGCAGCGCTGGAATGTGAAATCATCTGCTAACCCTGTCTTGCCCCACTCGGAGGCCCTGGTGCGATGGCCACTGGGAAAAGTAGTTCGAGGATCTGTACTTGAAAATGTGCTAGGCAGGTGAGAACAACAGCAACTATGACGTTCCAAAAGGATGCTTTTTGGACATACTGAACGCCTGATGAGTGCCTAAGTGCTGAGAGCCTGCTCTGGGATGGCAGAGGGGTATACCAAAAATCAGAAGGGGCTCGGCCACATCCTTAAGGAGTTCACAGTCTGTGGTTCACAAACCTTTACACAAATAACAAAATAATATAAATGTATAGCAGTTATTTTTAAGGTTCATTGGAACAAAGAGGGGGGATATTAAATCTGAAGGAGCAGGGCGCCTGGGTGGCTCAGTTGGTTAAGCGACTGCCTTCGGCTCAGGTCATGATCCTGGAGTCCCTGGATCGAGTCCCGCATCGGGCTCCCTGCTCCGCAGGGAGTCTGCTTCTCCCTCTGACCCTTCCCCCTCTCATGTGCTCTCTCTCATTCTCTCTCTCTCAAATAAATAAATAAAATCTTTAAAAAAAAAAAATCTGAAGGAGCAGATCTGGAAAGGCGAAAGCAAGAGTTCATGGATTTTTCACTAGGTAGGAAAGAGTGGCAGGACATCAGATACAGGGCATTGGGGGCGGGAAGCAAGGCCAAGAGCACTCAAGACCAAAAAGCTGAAAAAACTTCAAGAGCTTTCAAAGAAGGGCCTTGAGCTGAAACTGTGCAAGAGTTCCTTATGTAAACCCAAGGTCAAGCCTCAAGGCTAAAGCAGTTTTCCCACACAGCAGTGTGCTTTTTCCCCCTCTTAAAGTCATCTTTTCCTTTGAACTATTTCCTTAAGTTACCCATCTTCTGACTACATGGACTTATTCCAAGACTCTGGTAAACATGCAGTACTGATTTGGGTACAAGAAACAACTCTAGCAACTCTGGGGAGATGCGCACAGAGTTTCAGAAAAGGGACCTTAAAGTTCCAAGTATGTCTTCAGACTACAGTCATTGGGTTGTTGTTTTTTGGGTTTTTTTTTAATGTTTATTTGTTTATACTGTACCAGACTTTCTTTGCCAGTCTCTATCTTTAAAGAGCAAGTAATCTTTAGGAGAAAGTCCAGGAGAACTAGGGCCATCCAGGGCCAGAGAACTGAAGTAGTTCAGTAGGTCTTAATAACCATTAGACCCAAGTGCAAATTTTATTCCTGTTATTTACTAGCTATGAGATGTTGGAGATGATGTTAAACTTTCTTTCTCTGCCTTTCCATCTGCAAAAGGGGATAATAATAATAATAATAACAATAATACCTAACCAATGGGTATTGTCAGGCTTAAATGAGATAGCATACGTAAAGCTCTTAGAAATGTCTGTGAAAGCCCTTCCCACCAAAGACCACCAGGAGGAAGACCTGTAGTTGAACAGGTGGAGCTTATTACTCACTGGGGAGAAGACCATGCTCTATGGGAAACTGTGGGGTTTCTCAGGATGAAAGTGTTAGAAAGGACTCAAAGGATTGGGACTTTAGTTAGGTGATTTGGAAGGCTCCTTAGAAACTGAGTGGGGAGGGCTACTCTGGATTTCAGTGCTGTCAGGAATTGGGGACAGTTTACTGACTGGGTATCTTAATAAATTTTATCTAGAAGAATGGCAGGTAAAGAATGAGGCTAGAGTTGTAACTGACAACAAAGCAGCAATCATCCATAGTATCAGGAAGGAGAGGTTGGTGTTTTGTGATTTGCACTTGACCTTGCTGTTGTTTGTGTGTAGATAAAATTGGAAGTGGCCTTGTTCTGTCCCACTTCAACACAGTCAGAGTGACCTTATCTGATATTGGTGCTCTGAGAGATTGTTTATGTCCATGAAGAGAACAACATGGCTTAGCTGTGAGTGTCAGGCTAGCTTTTAAAAAACATTGAGCCCTTGCTGTTAAGTGTCAAACTAGTTACCTGATGTGAAGGGCTGCTCTTTTCTTTCTCATGTCCTTCGCATGTAGAAGATACTAAGTATAAATAAACAGAAGTTATTATAATTAATTTTCAAGCTTCACATAGATCACTCTGAAATTTTTCTTATAGAAATTCTTCGGGCACGTGGGGGGCTTGGCCGGTTAAGCATCTGACTTCAGCTCAGGTCATGATCTCAGGGTCCTGGGATGGAGTCCAGCATAGGGCTCCGTGCAGCGGGGAGTCTGTTTGTCCCTCTCACTCTGCCCCTCTCCCTGCTCGTGCTCTCTCTCAAATAAATAAAATCTTTAAAAAAGAAAGAAAGAAAGAAATTCCTTGCAACTGCAATGCATCTGTGAAAATAATACTCTTGCCTAAGTTTTACATTTTTAAAAGTACATTTTTCTTAATTTATTGTTTAAACTTCACATCAGCATGCACTGCTTCTCATTCTGACACCCCTATGAGAAGATGATATACCCCACTGAGTCAACAGTTTTGGAAATGCCAGGCTCAGTGCACAGGGCTAGGACAAAATTTAATGAGACAAAAGGCAGGCTTGGAGAAGCTTGGAATCCAAAAATACGTTTCCTTTCTTTATCATTTCTGTTCAGTCTCAACCTCCAGACAATTACAAATGCAATTTTTGTGAGGTTCACTCTTAATGACTATATAAGAGAGAAAGGTGTGAAAAGTTGAGGGAAGGGATGGATCATTCCCAATCTATTTTTTGTAATGACAGTTTTATAAGATACCATCTCACCCTTTTGAGATTGGCAAATATTACAAAGTCTCATGTCACCAAGTTTAGGACCTGCGAGAAGGGAAGGTACATGCACCTGTGGCCCAGCTCTTCTGTGGGTACATGTCCCCCTGGGGTCGCCCAAAGATACCCATACAAAGATACCCATACCCACACTTCATAATAGCAAAAAAGAGTAAACTATTTCACCAGCCTGCAGTCACAGAAAGAATAAAACACACGGAGGTTTCCTATATGGTAGAATCCTATATTGCATTTAAAATGGATAACTAGGTCTACATGTGGATATATCTCAAGAATAAAGAGAAAAATCAATTGGCACTATATATGTGTATATATATAGTGTGTGTAAAAACACAAGAGAGGGATGCCTGGGTGGCTCAGTCAGTTAAGTGTCTGCCTTAGGCTCAGGTCATGATCCTGGGGTCCTGGGATCCAGTCCCGCATTGGGCTCCCTGCTCAGTGGGAAGCCTGCTTCTCCCTCTGCCTGTGCTCCCCCTGCTTGTGCTCTCTCTCTCAGACAAATAAATAAATAAAATCTTAAAAAAAAAAAATCAAGGAAAATATACCCCAAAACTTCACCTACTTTCAGAGAGTAAAGGAAGAAGTGGCAAGGAATCGAAGCTGCAGCTTTATAGCTAAAGTATCTGTAATGTTTTATTTATTAAAAGGGAGAGATCTGAAGTAAATCTGGCAAAATATGAAGAAGTATTTAATCTCAGCAGTGGATGTATTTGTGTCTATTTTACTATTTTCTATAATTTCCTGTTTATCAAAAATGTTTCATATTCAGTTTTTAACAAAATATACAAATTAACAGAAACATAGGAACTTCGGAGATAGCTCCCTTCACTCCTTCCATTCCTCCAAAAAATCTTAATATATTGGCATTGAGACTACAATGAGCTATTAAGTGCACATAAGGAGAAGTGAAATATATTTTTTAAGGATGACTTTAATATTTTTAATTTTGAGTAATAAAATCTATTCCCTTCCCTCTACTTGTCTTCCACTCTCTTTTATTCTCTCTTATCACATGCATTTTCCTTCTCTCCAGAGAATCAGGAACCAACAACAACAAACACTGCATTTCCCTCTTTCTACAAATTTTTTTCTACAAACTTGAGTTCTACAAAAGAAGTTTTGTAGTTCTACAAAAGCGCTACCAAAAAAATTACAAATTCAGTGCTTTGCTGTGCATGCTTTCCAAGGAGTCAGTGGATTAGAACAAGAAACATAATTGCAAGCCTAATTCAAAGCCTAATTTATGTAACTTCACCACTTTCTCCATTGCTTTACCATCCGATGCAGCAGAGGCGTACCTCATTTTACAAAAGTTCTATAGCACTTCGTACTTAATCAGAAGGTATTAGAATAATTAGCTGACCATTAGCACTGACTTAGCACCTTCATTTCAAACCTTCAGTAGCAAGGTACACTACTGTTGCTTACCCTTGTGGATTTGAGGCCTGGCTCCTTCCACATTCTCCACCTGCTTGTCTGTCTTGGTTGGTGTAAATTGCTGCTGTGTGGGGCGCCTGGGGGGCTCAGTCGTTAAGCATCTGCCTTCGGCTCAGGTCATGATCCCAGGGTCCTGGGATCGAGT